TTGTGGGTTGAGGTGTTGGGTTATAGGGCCCAAGGTTTAATCACCAGCACTGGAAAAAAAAAAAAAAAAGATGTGTGTAATTTTGTAATTTTAAGTTCCTTTCTTACAGCAAGAGAATTGTCTAGGACTAGTAAAAACAAGTATTTCCATAGAGTGAAGAAAAACCTGAGAGAGGAGCACAGTTAGTCTTCCTCCTGAAGAAGGAATCTAAGAAAGAACTTCTATAATTGAGAATTTAATGTAAGATAATTTAATACAGTGTGATCAGAATAATGGGGTTTATAATAGTTGATGGCACGTGTAGCATGTTATTTGACCACTAAATATGAGCCCCTCTCTCCTGATTTATAAGAGAGAGAGATAATTGTGTCTGATTCATAGAGTTACGAGCCTTAACTGGATTAACAAAACATCATGAGGTGTTAGCACAGTTGCTTTTCGACAAATGGTTGCTTAACATTTGTTAACCCCTTGTAAAGAATGTACTGTCGAGATGCCTGCTCCCTGAAGAGGCAGCCATGTGAGCAAGGCTGGGTCATCTAGGAGTGAGACTCATTGAGAACATTGCGTAGGCCAGGAAACTCGTGTGGGGCACCTCCCCTGGAAGGATTATGGTGGCTTCGGGGCTTTGGGGGATGGATAAGGCGCAGTCTTCCCCACAGAAGTGGTAACGATGGAGAGAAAGGTTGCAGACAAGTTGGAGAAAGAGAAACCGGGGGAAAGGTTAGGGGAGGCAAAGGGAGTTCTGTTCCAATGGAAGGAGACTCTAGGCACTTTTCCAAGATGATGAGGAGAAGGTCCATGTGCCGAAGTCCCCCCAGGGAGCTGGCCTGTTAGGTCTCTGCTCAGTTACTCAGGACATAGGGTTTATGAGATTGGAGTGGTTCTGTCCAGGACTTTGATCCATGGCCACAAACCATACTGGCCCTTGAGCTGGATTCTACCCCGACTCTGGGTCCTGCAGGACAGCTTGGGCAGCCACACTGAGCACCGGTTCAGTGTTTTTCTCACTGATGGAGCAATAGCACCATCTTTTTGTGACTGGAGGGCTCTCAAAGAGCCCAAGAACTAAGGATGCTGGAGAATATTAAGTGGACTCGCAGATGGTACCTGTCACGCTTTATTACCACCTGCACATATCCATCCAAATCTGGTTTTCCTATTAAAGATGAATTAACCCCCTCTTCAGCATGAGAAAAATTATCTGAAGCTTCCTTGGGATCATTGGGAAAGGAATTTAGACAAAAGCCTGAGGAAGGACCAAATTTTGTGTCAACTGTGCATACAGACTCACGCGGCCAGACTCAACCACCTCTTTTCTTTCCACAGGGGAAAGTGGAAGTGGAAGCTGGGAAGGAGGGGATGAAGTTTGAAGCAAGCGCTTTCTCGTACTATGGCGTCATGGCCCTCACAGCCTCTCCAGGTGAGTTTGGATCTTGCTTCCTAGGCCGGGCCTTGCTTTAGGCAGTCCTGCCCTTCTGCAGCAGCTTTCTTTTGGTACTTGCCGATTGACTTTATTTACTTACTTTCTGAACTTTTTATTGATGTTAATCATAGTGTACACCTTTGTGAGTTTCACACACTGAACACACCTGTGTAGTCTAGCATCGAGGTCGAGACAGAGCGTCACCCACCTCACAGAAGCCCCCTCAGGCTTCCCGAGTCACTGTCCCCCCAAAGCAACTACCATCTTGAGCTTTGTATAAATGGAATTATGCAAATGTACTCTGGAGCTCTGCTTCTCCCCCTCGGTGTTGTGCTTGTCACCCTGGTCTGTGGTCCTTGTGTGTGCTTGTATATGTTTCTTCTTGCTGCATTGTAGTATTCCATTGTGAGACTCTACAGCTGATGGACACTGGTAGTGTACTTTCCTGTTTGGGGCTACTTGAACTGTGTGCGGAACCTTCCTGGCCATGTCTTTGGTAAACGTGTGTGTGTTGAAGTGGAACTGCTTGTCATGGCCTACGTGCTTCCTCAGCTCAGGTGGACACTGCCCAATAGTTCCCAGAGGGTTGTACGAGTCACACCCCTGCCTTTTCTGTGAGGTTCCAGTCACTCTCCACCTAACACTGGAGACTTCTAAATGTTAGCTACTCTGGAAGTTCTTATTTGCATCTTTCTGAGAATGAACAAGGTTGTTGATATCTGCAGCCTACGGCCACCTCTCCTCATCTAGAGAGCAGGCCTTTTGAGTTGGCCAGCTAAGGGGGGTGGTATGCCATGGTAGATTAACCAAGAGCTCCGTGCAAAAGATTCCAAGATGCTATAAGGCTGCCCCAGTCCTAGCAGGGCATGAACATGGACATGCCTGGTGTGCTTGCTCACCTTGGATGGGTCTTGAGTGCACCTCTGCATTTGCAATGGAGGGCATTCACTGACAGCCTTGCTCTGGCTGGAGCAGGTCAGCAGGTAGACAGGTGCCGGAGTGCCACCTTGTGGCCAAAATGCCAAATGATAGATTGTCTTGGGAAACAGACCTCAACCTAAAAATAACCCAACCTAAAAAGATGACTGTCACTTTTGAAAAGCACTCTTAAAAAAGGGAGAGGACATCTCCAGACAAGTCTGTTTTTGTGATGTTGTCTCTATCTACTGTGCTAGCCGGCAGTCTGAGGGGCCCAAGGATGTTACAGGGCACTGTAGAAAACCAGGGCACTGTCGCATGTCTCTCAAAGTTCTAAACTTCCTTTGGCCCAAATGCATCTCCTCACTGTCCCATGCAAGTCTAGGAGGGCATCAGGCATTGACCAACTGCTGACAGACACCCAGTATGAACACAGGCCTTTCTGACCCTAGTTAGTAGGTGTGTCTGTGGTAAACTTGAAGGTGATCTTCTATTTTCACTGTTGGCTTGTGTGAGAGAGGCTTTTAGCCAGACATGAGAAGACCTGGGTTCATATAGCCACGGTTCCATCATTATAGGCTATATGACATTGGGACAGGTCCTTGGCTTCCTCATTGTTGAAGAAATATGGTAATATTTCCTCCTGTGATTATTAGGATAGAAGGCAGTGGTGGTTCCACAAGTGTGCTGTGACCTTTACAACATGAGCAGAAATGTCTTATAATAGAAAGATGTTGTCATTGTGACTACTTTTGGCAGCCAGCCTCAGATTAGCCTCAGGTTAGCAGAACCAGATCTGTGTGGTGACTTTGAAAAGAAAGAAGCCCCACCTGTGCTCTTTCATTGATTGCTGGTTCTCTAAACCTAATATTAGCCCAGGGCATATTGAACCACATTCTAGGGACAAATCTCATTCAGAAGAGGAAGTGAAGAGTACCCCTTCACTAGCAAGGCCCTGGGGTGGCAATATCCTCCCTCGCCTAGTTTGAAGCTATCAATAAAGAAGGGAAGTTTATTAACAGTATTTCACTTATTCCGAAGCCTAGTGTTGAACTTGACTGTACATCTAGCTGTCTGGAATTTTGTATATTCATTGAGGGATGCATTTAGTGCAGGCACTTCAAGATAAAGAGATGCCTGTCTCTATTTATTAAAGTTAGCTGTCTGGAAAAAACCTACAATCCTTGGTTTTCAAGATGTGCCCAACATTGTGTGTCCACCGCAGCTCCCCCTCCGAGTAAGTGGCAATGAGCATGACCTTGATCAGCCATGCTCAGGAAATCTGGGCTTGAAATGCTTTATTCAGTTTCCTCTATTTTGAAATTTGAAATTATTCCAAAGCAGTGCAAAGCATCAGGTCAAAAAAGACTCACCGAGAATGTGAATGAATTGAATAATTAATTACTTGCCACAGAAACCAGCGCTGTGGGCTGTGCGCTGAATAAGTATTGGGTGCGGCTTGGCCATCCTCTTGGTTGATCAGTTGGGCTCCCTTTTTGGGTGGCTATTTGTGATGAGGTCCTTAGCAGTAGCATGTTTGGGGGCTGCAAACCTTGATTCGGTATTATTGGCTTAAGAGATTTCTAGGCGAGGCAGGGAGCATGTGAATAGGATTTCTCCCGACTGAAGCCTCCCTGGTACCTCTTCCTGGAAAGCAGTGTGGGCTTTGTTTGTCATATTACGTGGCTTTTGCATATCTGTGATTGAATGCTCCTATCAGTAGAACAGGTGTCCACTCCTGTCCCTTGATTACAGAGATCTCCCTTCTTGCCTTTCAATATGGTCTCACCCTGTTTTTCTCCATTTTTTCAGTTCCTTTGTCCCTGTCTCGTACCTTTGTTGTCAGCAGAACAGAGTTGTTAGCAGCAGGTTCTCCAGGTAATTCTGCATGTTTCCTTTTCATTCTCCTGATTTGCCTCCCCGACCCTGCACAAGCTGGCTAGCCTGGTCTGCTCCCTCTATTTGGACAAATCTGCTTCTCATTTTCCTTGGAGCCCTGAGACTAAGGTTCTCTGATCAACAGTGAGCCATTCAGGAAAGCGTAAGCCACTGTAGGTACAGAAAGAGCTCGGAAAGCTGGGAAAGGATTCAGGAACACAGAAAAGGAGAATGACAGGCATCCTTAATGTCACCTGCCCCATCCCACCTGCACTGCTGGCCTGGAATTCTCGGGTCAGCAAGGGGGCGGCGTCTTTTGTACCTTCCTGTGTCCTCCTGGAGTGTGGAGTTTGCAGGGTCTCAAAAGCTGAGGCTAGAACACATTCATCTTCTATAGAATGTATTACGTCAAAAGCCTGAAGGACCGTGATCTTTTCTTAGCAAACTAGGATAGTTCTCCATCCACAGAGGTCAACAACATTCCTGTTTCTTTGGTCATTTTTCCAGCATCCATGTGAACAGGGGGCATGTATTTCTGCTTACTATCAGGCAGGTGGCCCCCGCTTCTCCCTGTTTCCCTTTGTTTGTTTTGAAATTAGTACCATGCACATTCCTAACCAGCTGCTGATTACTGCCCTGCAGGAGAGTTTGGCTATGCCTAGCTAATATGTCCACCCATTAAAAAGAAAGGCTTAATCTTTCTTTAATTAAACTTGCTGGACTTTCCTATTGGGTAACACAACTTTTATATTTATTTTGTTCCATACAGCTTATGTTTTTAAACCTGACTGATGAAATTTGCATCTTATAATCCAGTTTAGCAAAACTCTACAATGCTGATATTCGGTAAAAGAGGCAAACTTTGTCTTAGAAGTAAACTAATGTTCCCTCAGATCTTTGCTTCTAAAGTTTGGGGGTAAGATGTCATAGAGCTCTAAACAAACCAGCCAGCAAAATACATGTGTGTGTGTGTGTGTGTGTGTGTGTGTGTGTACACACATTTTTTCATTTTGTTTGCTTGCATCTGTTACCTGTTTAAAATGTTCAGATGCTAAACCAGGTGACTTTTGGATGAAGCCCCTGGACATGTAATTTGCATTTTACTTTTACCATAGAACTTAGAAATTTCTCAGCTCTGCCTGCTTCATCTGATCCAGTGATAGTGAAGTCCCCTTTTGTAGTGTTGGGATGCTCACATTGCAATAATGTGTGATACCTAGCAAGCGGGAGTTGGATGGAACCAGTGATTTCCAGCCTCTTCCAGAAAGGAGCCTTTTGGCTCCAGGCAGGAGGCTGGGAATGTTTCTTTATTGTGTCTTCTAGCTAACTGCTTAAAGGAAGGAATTGAGTCTGAGGCAGGATGGATAAAATCAGCCAGGACAAAACAATAAAATAAGAAGCCAGCAAAAAATAAAAATTGAAATTTCCCCCCATAATTTTATGAAACCTTAGCACATAAATTGGATGACAAAGTATGACCTGAACTGAGGGACAGCTTCTCCAGCCTTGACTCTGTGTGGTAAGGGTCTCTCTGTATCTCATCATAGGTGAATGCATTTGATTCCAGGGGATGCCCCAGAATTGTTGGATGGTGCATGTAATATGGGGCAGACAGATCATATTACCTTCCTAAATTTTAGGACATCTCTGGTCTCCAAGGGTTTTTGGATAAATTGTGGACCTGTATTATTAATTGTTATAATGACTGCACTTGAGATGCAAGCTGTGAACTGAAACCAAGTGTTGTGTGCCCACTTGATTATGCCAGGCATCTGTGCGCTATAGAAGGAGTTCTGGGAAATGGGCTGCTTCTCCAGGCACTACTATGGCATACGACAGGAGTGGGCTTCAGGTAAAGGAGAGGGTCCATCCCCAAAAACAAAGGGCTATGGTCACTAACAAGTATGCAGAGGCCCCAGTCTCCACCTGCCAGTGCATAAGGTCTCACCAAAAAGCCAAGTGTCCTGTCAGTGCCTTGCTTTTACACCTTTAAATTTTAACACTTAGAAGTAAACACTGTTTGAAAAAGTATAGGCCCTGTAATCCTAGAGGCAGGAGGATCACAAGTTCAAAGTTGAGACCCTGTCTCACAATGAAAAAGGGCTGAGGTTGTGGCTTAGTGGTTAAGCACTCCTGAGTTCAATCCATATTACCCCACCCCCTGAAAAAAGTTATCTATAGAAATGCTGATGGGATTTATGGCCAAAGCCCAGAGGTACAGTAGGATCCCTTGTCTCAAAGAAGTAATAGAGGCAAAGCAGGTGAGGTGGTGCATCCTGTAATCCCAGCAACTCAGGAGGCTGATGCAGGAGGATCACAGGTTAGAGGCCAGCCTCAGCAATTTAACGAGGCCCTAAGCAACATAGTGTGACCCTGTCTCAAATAAAAAGGGGGACTGGGGTTGTGGTTCAGTGGCAGAGTGATCACTTAGCACAAGTGAGGCACTGGGTTCGATCCTCAGCACCACATAAAAATAAAATAAAGATATTGTGTCCACCTACAACTATTATATATATATATATATTTTTTAAAATAAAAAGAGCTGAGGATGTGGCTCAGAGGTAAAGCACCCCTGGGTTTAAAAAAAAAAAAAAAAAAGCCCAAGAAACAACTCCTCATGTTTCTGTTATTGTGGGTGACATTATCACAACGAGGAAAGACTTTGTCCTGAGGATTGGTGCGTAATGAAGAGTCTGAGGAAGCTAATAGGAGAGAATATGAAATGTTAACAAGGCACTTTTATCAAGTTCATACTGAGTGTCAGATGTTATGCTAAGCATTTTGTTTTTCTTTTTACCCCTCAGATCTTATGAGGTAGGTACTTTATTGTGCACTTTTTACAGATAATGAATTTGAAGCTTAACAAACTTGGTCACCTGTTCTAAAGTTCCATCTGCATTGATAAATTATTAATGTGCCTTGTTCTTATAGAAGATAGTGGAAAGAAACACGAGAAACTGCTACACTGAATTTAATTTTGACTAGCAGTGGAAAACTGGTTAATGACATGACAATTGTAGACATAAAAGTTTTGAGATGGAAATCTTAAAAGAAAACAGATTCATCATCTGAGAGTCCCAGAGCACTAATGTTTATTCCAAATGTCTTATTTAAAGAGGGACATTTACAAATGGAGGTTAAGATGGGGGATCAGGATGGGCTGAAGGGTTGGTAACACATGGTATAAAGAACAGCAGCTGAGGGGCTAGGGTTGTGGCTCAGCAGTAGAGCACTCGCCTAGCATGTGTGAGCCCTGGGCTCGATCCTCGGCACCACAAATAAATGAATGAATGAATGAATAAATAAATAAATAAAAACAAAGGTATTGTGCCCATCTAAAACTAAAAAAAAGCATTTGGCCTGGAAAAGAGTAGACTACAGGGGGACTTGACTCTCCTCATATTTTAAGGACTATTTTTTTCAAATAGCAGAGGAATAAAAGTTGTCTAGTAGTACTCTGGAGTGGAAGTGAGACTAGGTTGTCACTGAAAGCCAGGGAGGCTGAGTTTGATTGGCCATGAGGACACTTTCTGATAATTGAAGGGCAAGACTAGATACTCTTCTAAGGGAGTATCTGTCAGGGAAAACTTGCAAAAATAGGTCCCCTCCATACCTGTGACATCATACAATTCAGGACCTGTTTGTTGTGAGCACCCAGTTAATATCTGTGCAACAGAGATGGTTGGGAAAGCAAAAATGGAGAAAGCCTTGTAGGGATAGGTCTTATTTTTATTAAAAACTACAATAAATTTCCTCTAAGAGTAAGAACAATACTCACCTGCAACTCCTTTTACTTTATCTTATTGAAAGGATGTTATCAAAACCTCACCAAAGCTGGGCACGGTGGTGCATGCCTAAAATTCAAGCAGCTTGGGAGGCTAAGGCAGGTGGATTATGAGTTCAAAGCCAGCCTCAGCAAAAGTGAGGTGCTAAGCAGCTCAGTGAGACCCTGTCTCTAAATAAAATACAAAATAGGGCTGGGGATGTGGCTCAGTGGTTGAGTGCCCCTGAGTTCAATTCCTGGTATTCCCCTGCCACCCGGAAAAAAAAAAAAAAAAAAAAGCTTCACTTAGAACTGAGTGTGGTGGCACACCCCTATAATCTCAGAAGGTTGAGGCAGGAGGTTTGAAAGTTCAAGGCTAGCCTCTGAAATGTATCAAGACCTTCTCTCAAAATTAAAAGAACCATGGATATAGCTTAGTCATAGTGTTTGTCTCGCATGTACAAAGTCCCTGAGTTAAATCCCCAGTACTGCACAAGGAAAAAAAAAAACAGGAAAAAAATCTTAGTCCAGGTTCTTGAGGATTTGGTATACTCAGTGTTCTGTATTCCTGAGCTATCCTCCAGCTGCCTGGTGGGATTACTGGATTAGAGACAAAGGTAATAGGCTTGGCTGGGGGTCATGGAATGAGAAAACAGAAGTATTTTGAGCCATTTAAAACACATATGGATTTATGGACATTCTCCAGTCTTTTTTTGGTTTTGTTTCTGGCAAAGGTAAGAGCCATCCTCTTGTAACCTATGTTGATATCAGGTGACTTTGCTATCTCAGGCCTTGTCCCTCATCTGTATATTTCATAGCATTCAGTGATGTTCCTCCCAAAGATACAAGGCCACTGTGAGACTTGGGAGGATTCTGTCACAACTGAGATTAACATAATCTGTCCCTGAGAAGCCAGTGAGGCTATCTGTGCAGGACGCCTGTGTTGTAGCTGCAGGGCAACGGCACCTGGGATAAGCTCATGGGGCTTGTGTGGTAATTATTAGTTTTTAGTTGGAATAAAGAGCCGACCATTGGCTACCTCTACTTTAAGAGGCATTTTCTCCTTTTCTAGGTGAAAATAAGTCACCTCCTCGCCCATGTGGCTTAAATCACTCAGACTCTCTCAGTCGAAGTGACCGGATTGACGCAATAACACCAACGCTGGGGAGCAGTAATAACCAGCTCAATTCTTCATTTCTGCAAGTCTACATCCCTGATTACTCAGTGCGAGCCCTTTCCGACCTTCAGTTCGTCAAGGTAGGTGAAGAGAGGGTGGCTTGGCTGGACCCTGCGGTAGATGCCAACTTCTATGGCAGATTGTTGGGGCTTCCTAGCCCCTCCATTGTGCTTTCCCTTTGAAACTGTGTTCCAGTTCTTCTCCACAAACCCTCTCTCCCTCAGCTGGGCCCAGGACTAAGTCTAGGAAACACATTTATCCTTTGGCTGTACCAATTGAGCTGCCAAATCAAAGGTGGCCTGTTCAGGGCCTGGGAGCTGGAGATCTGGAGAAAAAGAGCCAACATTTTCCAAAAAGCATTCGTGAGCCCATGACAAGTGACTCTGGGTAGCTTGGAAGGGGTGAGCTTGGGAGACTCACAAGGCTACTGAGGGGGATGCACCTCTGGAGAGCCTCCTCTTGCCTTCTGCCCTGGAGATAGGTCCTTTTCTTAGTGTAGTGGAAGCTCATGTCTATTTTCTCATCTCTCTGGTATTGAGTCAAAATTTGGAAATGATTTACATCAGTAAATTTTGTTTGCCATAGTCAATCTGAACTTTAAAAAAATGCCTCCATTTAAGCCTGGAACCCTGGCACATGCCTGTAGCCTCATCTACTTGGGAGGCTGAAGCAGGAGGATTGTTCAAGGCCAGGCTGGGCAACATAGTGAGACCCTATCTCTCAAAGGGAATTTAAAAAAAAATGGCTTAGTTTATGCTCAAGGATGATTTTCTCCTGTAGTAACTACTATTATACATTAAATCCTTTGGGGGGATTTAATGTATAATATATGTTAGAGACAAGAGGACCTAAAATTAAGCATTCTCTTGGTTTGTTTTCTGTGTCATCTTCTGGTCCCAGATCTCAAGACAGCAATACCAAAATGCCTTGATGGCATCCCGGATGGACAAAACCCCTCAGTCTTCAGACAGTGAAAACACTAAAATTGAATTGACTCTTACGGAGCTGCATGATGGGTTGCCAGATGAGACGGCCAACCTGCTCAATGAACAAAACTGTGTGACACACAGCAAGGCCAATCACAGCCTGCACAACGAAGGCGCCATCTAGGGGTGCCTACACTGGCCCTCCTCGACCGTCCCCCGCCTGAGGCTCTGGCCTCTGTCAGACCATGACTTCATTAGTATGAGCTTGTCTGCCATGCTGCGTCCTGCAACATTCTGAGACCAAAGACTTTGTCCCCTTCCTGGAAGCCGCAGAGGACAGCAAGAGAAGGAATGGGAAACTAGAGATGAGAAAGCGACAGCTGGGGCACGATGTTCAAGATTTTGGAGATGAACTTCTTCGCCCAAATAGAATCATGTTTATTTTTTCAGCTGTACCTTTTATCATTTACTCACTCTCCTCCCTCAATTTGCATGAAGTTGAAAATTGTTGCGATTTATTTTTTCAAGATATCATGTTTTTCAAAAGTGTCTTTTGCAGAGTTTTAACTTGTTCTGTCTGAACTCTGCTGTGGTCCCATGATGTGACCCTAATAGGATGGACTTGCCCCACAAGTGGCCTGCCGTGGCCTTCCCAGGGAGGGACACCCTTCCTCTGTGCCCCAGTGGGTGTCGCTGTCGAACTTGATGGATGAATGAAGAAAACCGTGTCACTGCAGAACCTGCCAAGTCTGTCGTCACTGTGGGGTGTGGCATGCAGAGGGACCTGTGGTCGGTTGCCTCTCTGTGCTAAGTGTTGTTTTTGAGAATTTAATGTTTAACCATGCCCCTTTCCCTCAGGAAGGTTTAACGTTTGCTTGGGAATGTGATTTTGCTCCCACCCTAAGGAATTTTTATCACCAAAATGAATGTTAATGAATTTTAAACCCATGGTTTATCATTGGCAAGAGGCAAGTTGACTTCATCCTGAAATTCCTTTGGCCTGGGGTCTCTGGCTCAGCCAGCGGTCCCCTCACACCCCAGTTCACAGAGCGCCGTCTCCCAGCCCTTGCTCTTGCTAACCCAGGATGCTGCTACACAGATGCCAAATGGAGACCTTCCACAGGGCTTTTCAGTAAACATGAGGTGTGGAGGTCACGTCCCTTCCCTTCCCACGGGAACATATGTAGTTATCAGAACAGGAGACTGATTCTTTACTTGGGGCCAAGAAGGCATGTCTAAACCCATGTTTTTAAAGGAGGTAACTTTGGGGATTTCCAGGGAGCCAACTGTCCTCCTTTTCCTTCGTCTCTGGGCTCAGGAAGCCCATTGGTGGCAGCATCCCCCAAGGACTGCTGTGCCTCCTGCCTCAAATGCAGCCTGCACTAGAGAGGCTGCTTGGACAGCCAGGGTCAGTTTGGCCCCAAACAGGGATTCAGCAACCAAATGTTTGTTGTGGCCATTTCATGTGTGTCTCCGTCTTACTTTAATACCAAATTTACCATGTGTAGTGAAATTAATGTCAGCAGATATTGAGTGACTGCTTTCTTAATAGCTTGTGTTTTACCATTAGCCCAAGAGACAGGTGCATCTTGCTAGCGATATTCATACACTGAAATGAATTCTCCTGCCCACAGTGTTTATATAGGACTATCCATACCCACTGTGGCTGGTCACTGGCAGAGAAGAGAGCATTTCTGCATTTGAGCTTACTGCATGCAGGAGGGGGCTCAGCAGCAGTCTTCTGCCCCCTCAGGTAGGAAGTGTGCTCACCCCTGGTTGGGCTGTGTGGGGGGTGATGTGCTGGGCTGGCCTCCTGGTGAGCAGTTTGGTGGCTGTGGTGTCAATGCATGACTGATTTAAGTGTTTGCCCTGAGGTGGCAGTACGGGCATGTCTTCCTCAGATGCTGTCATGCCCCTTAGTGAGAGAGATACTGGCCTCACTAGGTGGAGGGTCATGGAGAGTGCCCCTAAGGGACACCTTGGGACAGAGCCTGTATCGTGTAGCACCCCACACTGGAGTGTCCCCTTTTTCGAGTATGTCCATCCAAGTTAAAAAGCCCATTTCCTAAGATGCATCTAGCCAGACACAACACAGATATGACAAGTGTGTACAAATGAGAATTCTCTGTAACAAAAAGAAACCTGGGCCTGGCCATAGCAGGGGTCTCTCCCTCAATGAACTGCCACTTTGGCCCAGTGGTGCTTGCCTTCCCTGAGGTCTCAGGAGCCAGGTGGTCAAGCCAAGGCTCTGTAGCCTCAAAGAACTTCACCCAGACCGCCTCTCAGGCCCAGGGCCTCTCTCCATGTACAGTCTCAGGGCAGCCTTGCTAACAGGAGCCTCTGGAATGAGAGTCACAGGCTGGCGTCTTTCTCAGAGCCCCACTGTTCTTCATGGATCCTAAAGACCTGTGAGAATCAGGGGAGTAGGGGGAATACCAGCCACTGCCTCTCTTAGGAGAAACAGGAAATTTTTAGTATGCTGTCTTGCTGCTCAGCATGGTGGCTTCTTGCAGAGTATTCTGCTTATAAGGAGCTGGCAAGGTAGCACTACAGTGGGGCTCCCAGGATGAGGTTTTAGCCTGCTAAGATTTTACTCATTTTTTGTTAACTATTTTTCACCTTTGATTCACACTTTTGATAACACAAAATCCAGAACAGTTCCTATCTGGTCCCCAAAGGAACAAATGTGAACTATATGTGGCTATAATTACAGCTGAGAAGAGCTAAAGACACTTCAAGTAGCACTCATGTCTGAACCACAAGGTTCTTTTCCAAATCTCATGTTCCCTCTGAGTCAGATCCCTCAGACCGTTGAAGGAGAAACACTGGTCCCTTTCTTCTCTGGGGCAGCAGGAGAGTGGTCTCACTTAGGAGGACCCATGCCAGTCGGAGCTGTAAAGTCATTGGGGCTGGGCTAAAAAGACTGTTAATTAGGTGAAATCTTGGTGCATAGTTGCTGCACCTCAGCACTCTGGCTGGATTGTCCTCTCCTAGGGTTGCCATCCAGATGCAGCCCCCACCCTCAGTTCTGCGCTGAGGGCCTTGCCTACAGTGGCCTCTGTTGCTAGCCTGGCTCTATGGTTTGGGACAGACCATACTTTCTCCTAAGCAGCCACTCTGGTATCCTAAAGGCTCCACTGGAACTAGACTCTTGGGATCCGAATGTCCAGGACATTTTGCCCTCTTTGTAATGGGGCTGTTTTCAACTGTCTTTAGAGGTTCCCTCCCTTCATGGTTCTGTTCTGTATTTATCGTCATTTTGTCTGTATTCATCAGGCAAGTCCAAAATCATGTATTTAAACTCTTAGGAAAACAGAACTCTAAGATTTGTAAATGGATTTATTAAGGCACTAATCAAATAGCTTAAATCTTGGTATTTAAATAAGTTGAATTTGAAAGGGTGCCACATTCAATTCTGTTCTTCCTTCCTTACCCTCCACCCCGTCCCCCGCACTGCACTCTCTGCAGAGAACTCTGTGCCATGGTGGACATGGTTGGCTTCCCTAGGGCCAAAGTAGGGCATCTTGCCTCTTTCTAATGTTTTTTTTTTTTTTTCAAGGAATTTGTGCAAATGCTGAATGCAGTACTTCACATTAATATTGAACACTAACTAAATAGATTTACCTTGACATCCTCATTCCATATAACTACAGGACCAGCTTTTCCAAGTCTAGGAAAATAGTGGTAGATGCCAATAGAAATACATTTTTATACCCCTAGGAAACAAAGGAACAGGATAATTTTGAGCTAAGCAGGAACCATAAATTTCAGCCTTCAAATTCTACAGGTTGAGGAGCAGACCTAAGGAGGCACTGACTAAGCCCAAGTCCCAGCTGACAAAAATATACACCACCTGTCATCTTTTGAAGGCCACCAGGGATCTGTGACCATCTTTGCCATACCTGGGCCATGGGGCAAAGTCTCCAAGAAGCTTTTCAGGGATAGTCCCAGGCAGATGACTCCTGTGTGTTGGTGCAGAAGGTGCTCTCTTTGGTCCCTGGGTCTCCAAGAAAAGGCCAAGGAGGGCTGGCTTTGCACACTGCACTGCGTAATCCATGCTCCCAGGTGGTATGGGCAGGGGGCACAACTCCTGTCTGCTCTAATCCTAGAGATGGACTTTTGCAAAGGTTTGGGAACAAAAAGCTGACCCAGCAGGGAGGGGCTAGGTGGCTTCTGTGGCACAATTGCTCCATACTTTGTGGAAGAAATGGCTCTCTCCTGGGCCATGTTGCTGTTGATCTAGGCTGTACACGAGTGGTGCTTCATTCTGGCAAGGGTAACTGGGTGAGGTGTAGGCTAACCCAGAATTAGGGATTTAGAATTGAATATGAAAGCAATTTTGGAAATTCAGAAACTTTTGATACAACTTTTTCCATGAGCAAGACACTCAGTGGATTTTTATACCTCAGGGCCATTTTCATTTGTTTTGAGTGGTCTGATAGGAGAGAGAGATGAGTTCAGAGACTTCTAGGTTGAGGTTCACTTGCCTCCATTTGAGGGATGAGTGGTGCACCAAGACTGAGCCTGCTGATACTGCTGTCCTTCAAGGCTGTGACAAGTGGGCCTTCCTCCTTTAGCACTTGCATGCTTTCTTCTGGCTGCTAACTAATGCTTACTTGCTGGTTTTCCCTCTGCTTCTTCCTTAATGGAAGACTCACATTCCAGAGTCCCTGGTCAGCCACAGGACTGGAAGAAGAGATGGCAGATACAAGCAATGGCAGAGTGAGAGTGGCCTTCCTCTTGCTGCCTTTTGCTGGGAATCTTCTTTGCTTCTTAGAACTATGTTTGACTTAGCTCAAGTAACCTTTTTTTTCTGTATTCTAAGGCCACTGACATCATCTCAACTAGAATCACATTAAGTATCTTTTGGGAAATACCAGATGGTTTTTTAAGCAACATGGAAACAACAGTACTGGTGGCAAGAGTCAAATTTTAAGTGTTTGTATGTCAAGGTTTTTTTGTGTACAGATCAACGCAGACTTGATGAGTCAACAATATTTTCAAGATATAATGCCTGTTGAGACCATGTACAAATTCAAAGAATGATTGATTGGCAGTATTATCTTGCCTTTCTGGTGTTTGCCCATATCTGATGTACACGGACTCACTTAAGAAATGATTGAGGGCTAGATTCCTCTTCAGAAGCATCCTGAAGAGAATTATTTAATGGGCCCGATAGGCTTGGTTGGGTGCCTGCCCTTTTTCTTGAAGACTCAGGACCCTTGAGTATAAGCAGTGGGCATCCAGGCAGAGCAGAGGAAGTAGGAAAGAATGAGGTCTTTGGAGTCTTATTCCCCAGAGCCCTAGCCTAGCTTCTGATTCATAACCCACCCTGTCTAAAGTCTGTTGTGGAAGGTAGAGTATCAATCCATTGACTTTTCTTGTTTTTGCAGTCTTTAAATCCACAAATGTATATGCTTAATTTTATATTATTTATTATGTACATACACCTCTACTGTTAGTATGTCTGTGACCAAGATATGTTCCGAAGCCCCTCATCCACAGAGCTTAGGGTTCTGTTGTCCCTTAAGTTGGGTGAGAGGGCAGTGGTGGGTTCCTCCCATCTAAAAAAACATGTTGCTGCTCTTATGTTGGCCTCTGTATCCCCAGCCCCCTTTGGGGGGCCCACCTCTATTCCTGATGATCAGTGTTTGGGAGGATTGTGAAGGCAGACCTTCTACCTTGTGGTAGGGCCTCTCAAATCCTTTCATGATGTATTGCAGAGGTGGTTTCTTGGTGACTGGGTCCCTTGTCAGATACAGTGGTACAGTTGGCTGAGACCACAGCCTCCTTCCTCACCCCTCTCCCAGCCAGGTTGTTTGCCTGGTCCCACAGTGATGGCCTCTACCTTGGATCACAAAATGCTTCTCTCTGGACCATGGAAGCTGCCTGCCCATCTGGGCTGTTAAATTTGCCTTTTCTTGGTGTTGGGGCCCAGTGCCAACATTGCCTTGGTCCTCGTGTAAGCCCTGCTTTGTCTGATTTTCATCCTCCTTAGCCTTTACTCACTGTATCATGGTGTACATTTCATGCATTTGAGCAGTGAAGTTTTCTGAACACAGTATTGAGAGCTGTGTGAAGTTAAATAAGCACAAGTCGAGTGTATAGGTTTCATGAGCTGATTGTCATAATGAATGCATTTTATAAATCGAATGTTGTAGATTTACAATTTCTCCTATTTATTTTGTACCAATTTATTTGTAAATTTTGTGACTGTTTAAAAAGGTTTTGTTTATTTCTATTCTATTTAGATAAATGATGATTTTCTGTTCACCCTTTTAGATGTGTGTTCCCTCTTTCCCTTTTCATCTATGCAACACCAACCATGCCATCTTGTTCAGGCTTGGTCCCTGCCCCACAGCATAGCTTTATTGGTGGGAAAGCCGGGAATGGATCTCAATAGGGCATCTCCTTTAGATAGATACTTCAAAGTCTGTGTTAAGAGTGGGTACAAATTCAGTACCTCCAAGTTACAGTCTGGTACTGACAGTTCAGGGGGAGAAGAGGTGTTCTTTCCAAGGAATGAAGTCTGTCCCCCATCAGTTAATCTCTAAATCAAGACAATAACTCTCCCCAAACACAGGTGCTCAGCCACTTATAAAACAATGCAGTGGGCAAATGGCCAGACTGGGTTTTTCTGGGTAAGACCAAAGGCTTTATGCAGGCATCTCAACTGGCTCTTAAGGACTTACAAAGCCTTTCTCATCTTTATCTATATGAAGTATAGGAGGAAGGTCAGAGCAGGCATAGGTGGGTCACCCTCAAGTTAAAACACCTGGAACAAGTATGGGGCAGTATGGTCAGATGCTCTTTATGATTCAGTATACATCCTACATTCCCCATTAATCCAGTATACACACCTTATTCCCTTCCATCACTATTTCAGGTCTTCTATATTCCTTTACACTCTTCTCACATGACTGGATCCTGAAGATCTTCCAGTCCATCTTCAGGACCCCTCTGTGATCCATTCCTAGGCCCATTTTTGGAATTCTTTTTTGCTCTATTCATACTCTATTTTATATTCCAAAGAGAATCATGCTGTAAGAACGGAGCTTCCTGACTGCTTCTTTATAGACCCCACTGATTTAACCATGATGATTACAGTATACTTACACTTGTCCTGTAGATGGAGACATTTCAGTGAAGAACTGCAGACAAGAATGGCTTTTGAGACCCTTCCTGACCTAACTACCACTCCCACCTTACCAGTTGTTACCCCATTTCCTGAAAGTAGAACAAGGTTTATCCTTATCTAGTTAAGTTTATCTTCTTGGGAGCCTGTTTGTTTTTCCTAGTAGCAGGGTACAAAGCAGCATCAGGCAGAAGGAATCACTGCAGAACATTCATTTCTAACTTATAGCCTTGGTTGGGTTTTCTTGCTATGCTCACCCTAGGTAAGTCTTTAGCTTAACTCAGGAATGCCCAAATAAAGTGGAGGCATATTTTCCTACTCTAAAGGATTTGCCTAAGCTTTTCCTCTGCATCCTTGAAGCTACACATGTCAGTTCATTCTTATGTTTTATTGTGATATGCCTTGGCTTTCTATTTTACATAAACCGTGTTCCCCAGAGCCTCTTCTCAACTTGATGCTTCTGAGGAAACAAATACTGATCTAGAGGAAGTGAATGATACAAACTGAATGACCTTTTCATAGCCTGGAGTGGATTTCTGGAAACTTAACTTTTTTGAAAGTAGTTAAAAACTTAGAGGCTGACTCCTTATTAAAATCAAAAAGTTGAATTCTATAAGATGGCTAATAAACTCATTTTCTTTGTTTAACTGTTTTAACATTTTCTCTCCAAGGGTCACACATCTTCTCATATTTTCAAGAAGTCCCAGGACAAAGATGGTGGTAATTTTTCACTGTAACTTTCTATTGGCATGCCATCTCCTCTGGTAGATGATTATGAGGCCTGAGAATGCAAGTTTTTAAGGGGGAATGAGTTGCCAGACTCCTTTGTTGAAGTGGTTTTCTCGGTAGGGTGCTAGTGATTGTGAAATGTTCAAACAGTAGACCAACACTGTACAGGAACTTTTAGACTGAGCCACAGTTTTGCTACATCATTTGAGTTCTACATAGTGGGCCCCCAAATAGTTACTTGCTTCAAAATAATCAACCACAAATCAAAGGTTACAATCTGGTGAGGACATTCTCTCAAAAAAGAAGTCTGGACATTTAATAAATATTTTCACTTTGGGGAAGATTTTCTTGGCAAATTCTCTTTCAGGTATCTTGGGAGCTTGTGAGGCTTAGACTGTTCCATCTTCTATGAGAAAAATGTCAACTCCATTATGTTGTGTGGGTTCCAGTTTGTATGGATTCTTTTAGGCCTCATTTACAAACCTTTGGGGAAAACAGACCAAATACAAATACAGACCAAATATGTGTGTACCTATTTGTACCCAATTTGATTCATGAAGCAATCTCTCTCAGCCACTCTTATTCTATTAATAAGTTGGAACCCAGGTATCTTTATTGTGTGTGAGGAAAAAAAGGGACTTGAAACTGGTTATTTGGTTTTACATTGGAAAATACAAATTACTCAGACATGTGGTCAAGTCACCAAGTTTGAAATGAAATGTTCTGAGTTCAATTAGGAGTACTACTTTGTGTTAAAGCTCTGCTCAAGAACTACTGAATATCACATCAATTCACCACAGGAACATTTTCTGAGAAATGTGTCATTAGGTGTCTTCATCATTGCAGGGACAGCACATGCATGTACTTACACAAACTAAGATGGCTGCAAGATTACTAGGGAATATAATCTTATGGGACTTCTATGGTATACACAGTTGACTGAAGTGTCATTATGCAGAACATGGCTTGTGTTTTATTTTTGAAGTTACATACCTTTGTCTAATTATTGTAGCCTTAGGATGAAGACATTCTGTCTGTCTGAGGGCAGGAAAATAGTGGAGAACAGAAAAGTTGTATTGTTCATTTTATAAACTAACTTTCTATTTTTAGGTTGATTTGCTTTCTGTTATTTTTAGATACTCTGCAGTGAGAGAACAGTGTGAAATGCTGCTTTACTGTTAGTAGCGGTATCTGATGGGCAGTGCAGTTTCTGGAAATCACCTGGCTCTGCTTTCTGGCTGCCATGCATGCGTCATTCTTCTTTCTTATTAGTAGTTCGCTTTTTCTTTTACCTTCAACCGTGTTGCTTGGGTAGTTCCATGGCAGACATTTCATTCTCAGGGCTTCCCAAAGTTGTATACCATTTGAAATTGTTCCATTTGAGGAAATACTTTTAAGAAGAGCTGGATGGCCTAGTTACCAAGAAAGAATGTCATGAGAAACATAAGCATTGAGTCCTAAACTACAAAACCAAGTGAGGAATGAGGCTGTTAATGATATGGCAATAGCTGGATCACAGTTACCATTTTTCCCACTATTAGAGAGGTTAAATAGTTTCCATAACCTGGAATTTGTGCCCCTGGGTTCAATCTTCAATGTTGCAAAAAAAATTTTAAAAATCTATAACATGGAATGTGGGCAGGTTTCCTACCCTAATATGCAGTTGTTTGTCTCCAGCTATTTGTGGTGAATACGCAAAGAACTTTAAAATGCCCAGGCAGCCCTGAAAAAAGAAAAACTATATGGCTTTAGAGTTGTTGACAAAATATTTCTTTAAAAAAAAATAAGCCTGATTTAGAAATATCTAAACATGGATAAAGTACTTTTAAATCTGACATGTAACTGCATGTGGCTTTTATAAGCAGTTTCTTAAAAGTAACTCCAACATGACTTATCAGTCCTATTTAAAACCACTTCTAAAAGCATCTTAGGAAGGGGTAGCTTTGGAGGGCTTTGCTTGACTATTTCAGATCTCGGCAGACCAATGCTTACAGTAGAAGAAAGTAGTCTTTGGTCAAAAACAACACTAAATCTTTTTGGCTTCAAACCATTCCTGAGATATTCCACCAGAGCTTTAACTGACCATCTCTGCAGATGGTCAATTCCTCTCTGAGAGAACCTGATAGTGCCTGGGTTTCCTGTGCCTCTGATCAGTTGTTTCATATGCCTAGGTCCCTGTTAGTACACAATCTTAAGCTTGGGAGTTCAGTCTAGCACTCAAAAAGGATGCCTGATATTCTACAAAACCTGTAAATTGATGTTTTCAGAATAGCTATGAAAAAAGTCTCAAAAGATAGTTGATCTAGAGCTGGGGTTGTGGCTCAGCAGTGGAGCGCTTACCTAACACTTGTGAGGCATTGGGTTTGATCCTCAGCACTACAAAAAAATAAATGTATTGGGGCTGGGGTTGTGGCTCAGTGGTAGAGTGCTTGCCTAGCATGCATGAGGCACTGGGTTCGATCCTCAGAACCACATAAAAATAAAGGTATTGTATCCCCCACAACTAAAAAATAATATATTAAAAAAGTAATAAAAGTATTGTGTCCATCTACAACTAGGAAAAAAATTAGAAAAAGATGATTGACCTAAATTCTTCAGGGCTTAAAAACAAAGGAAAAGTATATATTTTAAATTCAGCTTTCTTAACTACTGGCAATAGAAATTCATGTTTTAAAAAGTCCAATCATATCTGCTCCGAGTGCCAGCCCACAATACTGACTCCATAGCACACATTTAAGAAGAGTATACAGGCCGGGCATGGTGGCACATGCCTATAATCCCAGTGGCCAGGAGGCTGAGACAGGAGGATCATGAGTTCAAAGCCAGCCTCAGCAAGGTGCACTAAGCAACTCTGCCTCTAAATAAAATACAGAATAGGACTGGAGATGTAGCTCAGTGGTTGAGTGCCCGAGTTCAATCCCCAGTTCCCTTCACCCAACCACCCCCAAAAGTGTACAGGGTTAGGGTTGTAGCTCAGTGGTGGTGCATTTGCCCCACATGTGTGAGGACTGGGTTCTATCCTCAGCACCACATAATAACAAAGTTATTGTGTCCAACTTAAAAAAAAAAAGTATATAGAGAAGTACCACATTACTCTGGGTCTTACATTTTTTTGTGTCTGTATGGTGCTGGGGATGGAACCAGCAGCCTCATACACGCCAGGCAAGTGCTCTACCAGCCCCTTGGGTCTTAAGATTTTTTTCATAATATGTTCTGGTGGTCCTGAAGAAAGTTATGGCTAACAGAGGAATTCTTATTCCGCTTGTGTGCTTTCCACTTCTTAGACCTTGAACACACAGAATTCTTTAGCTATTAAGCAACTCTTATATGAACACAATATAAAAAGTGTGGAAAATAAAGCAAAGTGAACTTTGCTGTGAAAGGGAAAATATGTAAATAAAATAGCCCTGTAGTTATAATAAGCCATTTAAAGATTTGAGTTTGAGAAAAATTCAATCTATATAAAACTGGGCAATGTCTTCATCTTAGATGAGAATAACCAGTTACAGCAACCACATTCTCTAACATTTTAAAAAAGATAGCATCTAATTTTTATATGCAATAGCATTTCTAAAGTTATTCTTTCAAAGGAGCATATATTCTCCATAGATTAAGTTATGTCATGAAACACATTCTGACTGCAATCTAAAGTGCAAGTCATGAGGCATGGCAACTTTGGTTATGTTACTGAGCTGTGTTGCCTATCCACAAAATGATTTTTTTTTAAAGCCTCACCTGGCAGTCCGATACCAAAAAACATTGTGAAAAAATTGAGGCCTGTGAGACACTATAGATATAATCATGTTAGATCTTCGAGTTCTGGGAATGTGTATCTCCCGAGAAACTGTCAAACTATTGTCACTAAGCCAAACCTGAACCCACTTGAAGACCAATAATAATTATAGTTGTGCTATAGAAGGGGTCAAAGTCAATATTCAGAAACATTGCATTTTATTGAATTCTAGATCAGCTAGTCTATTCTCCCCTATAGACCAATGACAGTAAGATTGGAAGAAAATATATGAAAGTTAGTTAAGAATCTATTATCACTGTTCAAAATGTTGGAATAACTTTCACTGTACTAGTGAGGCATTAATAAGAGCCTAATGTCTACAATAATTCATTCTTGCTCAAAACAAGAAGTAATTTCATTTAGAGTTCTGAATTTATTCTCACTGATTTTGCTATTTGCATTAGTAAGGTTCTGGCTTAGAGTCCTTTTCCCATTCTCTAATGTTCAACTTTAAAATATAACAATCAACACTAGAGCTTAGAGAAATGTGGAACTGGGTAGCAGATGCCACAATTACAGCCCGTCCTGATACATCTTACTTAACCATTCTCTAATATAAGAAGGTTTCTTCTCCTCTTTTCTGGGGGCTTGCTCCTTTGTCATTTCATCTAAATTCCTTTATAGATTTACTACAGATGAGAAAAAGGTTTTAGATAACAAGTATTTATGCTATCAACCTAAAAAAATGCAGAAAGAATAGGACTTTTATATGTCAAAATAGAATCCCTGCAGTCCACTCCAGACTGGTCCTAAAACAGAGAATACTTCTGCAAGGTTACTGACAGAGCAGCAGCCTTGCCAGTCATTGAGGACACTTTAAAGGCTTATGAAAGGAAACTTGACCTCAACAGAAGACTACACTCAATAATGGAAACAATATATTTCTCCACTGATATACAATACTGTGTAATGCACTGAAAAAATTGGATTTTAAAGTAATAGAACAATTTGAAACAATACAGCATTTTTGGATGTTTTCCCACTGGTCCTTGTTACACTCGAAACCCTTCACCCTTAGTGTATCCAGATACACTATGACATACTGATCATAAAAGACAAGCAAACAGTGTCACAAGCCACATGGAACCATCTGCATGCAGTTCAGCCTGACTTTACCCTTACTTCCTTCCAATACAGACTCCATTACAATTCTGAGCCATCTGCAAAGAATAGAGATACACAAAACTAAAACAAGTATCTCTCTATGATTAGAATATTTTAAAGTCTTTAGAAACTTTCCAGACGTACCTCTGATGGAGCACCCCCACCCTCCTCCCCAGTAGAACCCAAACAAGAACATCCTTTGCTCCTGTGGGTCCTGCCAGAACTTGTTTAATGGGTGTTCAGGGTTTTGGTTTTCCTCCTTATTCTTCCTCCTCCTCCTCCTCCTCCTCCTCCTCTTCATCATCATCTTCATCATGGCAGTGTGTAATTTCCTGGGGGGCCAGTGGGAAGAGGTTGGGGGGTTTAATCTCACTAATCGACCTTGTCAACTGGTGTCGCTTATAGTCGGTGTCTTTAAAATCCACTGATGTTCGGTTGCGGGTGGCAAGTGGGGACTCCATCTCATTGATATCTACGTGTGTGTGCTCCACTGTTGACTCATGAGGCATCTAGAACAAAGCAAGAAGCTCACTACATCCAGTATAGCAAAAGAGATACTTCCCAAATCCTAACCCCTTTTCCCCTATTATGTGGCCATGTAGAGTTATATCAGACAAATCATTTAGATAGACCTTTACAAAACTACTACCTAAAACTGCCTCTCTTACTCTCTACTCCCAAAACAGTAAACCTATCCTTTACTAGAGCTGGAAACTGGGTAAGACAGAGAAGACTATTATTTTCAATATCACAGCCAGTCCTCAACAGCTCAATATCAGAACACAGGAATATAGAAACCACATTTCTTTGAATTAATATTAACAAAAGAATAAAGTCTTCATCATTCACTGTAACTTGTAATAGACTTCAGAGAGTTAAGTTATATTCTCTAAGTTTCAATATCTTGATCATACTTTCTGAAAGGCCCTTGTGCAACCACATAATCTGACCCTAGGCTTTGCACATAAGAATGTTCAAATTGTCTCCTGTGCAGTCCCACAAAGCTGGTTGCAGATCTTGATCTTAAAGTGTATCTTAACTATCAAAAGTAACTTTATTTACCAGGACATGGGCAGCTCTGAAGAGATAACTGAATGGGTAATACAGCAGGTTGATGAAAGATGCAGCATAGAGATCAGCATAACGCATCACTTGACTGGCAAAGAGTGTCTGCCGGGAGCCACTACGAAATAGGCTTCCCATCATCCCATAGCACATATCCATGTCATGAGTTACTTTCTAAAAACAAAAAAAAAACAAGACTGATTTTCAGTTCATTCAAGAAATTATTTATTGGGCACCAGCTGTATGCCAGTCCCTGGAAAAAAATAAAAAATATGAAAATCATTTAACTCATTTTCTATTTTCTCTCAAATCTAGTTTTGATACCTTTATACGTCTCTGGATGGAACTAATGTCTGGGCGCTCATTGCTACTGCTGTCAAGGTGCCTGAAGATAAAGAGAAAAACCCTGTGAAAATCTCCAGAAAGAACATTTCTTACACCAAAGTGACTCCCAAAAAGGTAGATGGTTTTTAGGGAAGAAATTTTTAGAACTGAGAAACTTACTTGTAGAGTTCAGCCAAGAAAATATCCAAACTCTGAAGTTCTTCAAAAAGGGCTAAAGTTTGGAAAAGAAAAGAAAAGTACTCAGTTTTTAACTGACACTAAAACTTCAGTAAAAAGTTGTACACAGGACCCAATATATATAGCCTGGACCAACATGTCACAGGCAGGTGTATAAATGACCTCTATCTCCTTCAAGAAAACCTATGATAATCTGTTTGGAATGTGGCAGCAGCTCAACACCTTAATTACCTTTTCTTCTATTTGAACACCACTAACTACAATTTTTTCTTCCATCTGTGTGCTCATTCTGAGCTTGCAAAATACCAATTCCTACCCTATCTCAGATGTAGTCAGCAAAAAGCAAGTGTTAGTAATCCCATTTTTAGATAAATGAATGAGAATGAAGTGACTTTTCCAGGGTCACAAGTACAGGAAATAGTACAGCCAAATCAATTAGATTTCTGAAACTTCAAAGGTGGAAAGTTGAAAATACAGATGAAAGGACAGCCAGAAGATCCTACTGATAGTACAGACAACAGAGATAGCAACAGTTAGTATCTGCATGTTTTCCATCTGTTGTAACCCTTCTCAACCTGAGTTCCCTGAGGGAATTAAGCCCTAAGACATCTATTTTTTTTTTTTTTCTATTTAACAAATGTGAGGACAGAGAGATTCCAACATTTCCTGCTGGTTCTCAGGAGGAGCCTTGGTTGAGAAGGGTTGTGATGTCTATCTTCTTTATACACATATTTCCTAAGTCTCATCAGCATTATGAGGTAAGTGCTATTATTATCATCCCCATTTCAATATTTGAGGAAAGTAAGGCACAGGGTATTCTCAGTAACTTGCCTAAGGGTATGCAGATTTTAAGCGATAGATTCAGGGTTATTACTCAAGGCAGGCCAAATTTCTGGAGTAACTTTCACCATATACTTGGTGATACTCAGTAAGGCTGCATGAAGAACTTGTATATCAAACACCATTATGTAACTATATCCCTATAGCTCAATTTAATATAGTATATGTCCTGCAAATATACAGTGTGGTTCAGTCCAAGAATATAATTTGTCTTCATTCTCTATTTCTCAGAAAAGTAAATAAATACCAGGAGGTAATTAATGTTCAGAACTGTCACCCCCCAGAATCTCAGATAATATGGGCTGTTAGGAGAGAATGGCAACTAGGCATGGTTGGAGAAATATGGACTGCAGAGGAAGTGGAACACAGGTTAGCAATTACAAACTGTAATACAACATGTAGCACTATGCTCAGAGAACACCAAAGTTTTCACAGTGAGGTCTGACACCAACATTCTACACTTAACCTCAAAGGGATTTAAGAAGTTGAATAAGGGCTGGGATTATAGCTCAGTGGTAGAGCACTTGCCTCCCACACGGGAAGCACTGGGTTCAATCCTTAACATCACATAAAAATAAAAAAAATAAAGGTATTATGTCCATCTATAACTAAAAAAAAAAAGAGCAAAATGGAAATAAAAAAGTTTGAATAAGATAATAACCTCTTATATTTATTAAAATTCTGGAATTCTGTGAAATACATGAATATTCTAATGGGACTATCAAGGCCCATCTTTTGACCACATCCACATCCGATCCCCTGCACAAAAAGTAATGGTTTATCAAAAAGAAATGAATTCAAAGATGGTCATTTAGATATAAACTAGCTATTTCAAAGATTTATAAAACATAATAATAGAACAGTCCCTTACAACTCTTGTCAGTCCAGACATGCAGCTCCTGTGCAAGTTCAGGAATCACCAAGAAAGTTCGCCACCCTTGCCGTTTCTTTGATTTTAAAATGTCTCCAAAAATGTGATCTCCAATATACAAAATATCTTTGCCCTTGGCTCCCAACAAATCACAGATTGTATCAGATGAACCTGAAACAATGAACATAAGATCTCCATGTTAAAGCGAGCAAAGTCCACACCCACTTAATACTGCGATTAATTTTACTCTTATTTAAGGGACAGACCTTTATTAAAGACAAAGACTTGCCATTCTTCCTACCACTCTTTTTATTGCCTGTAAGATAAAGTCTTCAGCTCTACTGTGCTGACTAGAACTCTAATACCAAATCCTACACAATTCTATCTCAGCTTAAGTAAATATAACCTTCAAAAGCAACATCACCATTTTTTTTTATCACAGATCAGCCAATAAGTTAGCTTTGTTCAAGTGTTTAACATAATATGTGTCTGTGCACACACAGGCTACTAGAAAACTCCTGAGACGCACCCAAAATTATTCCAAAAAGCTAAAATAAATAGGTAAAATAAAGAGGCGGTGGCGGGGGGAGGGGGTGGCTGAACCTACTAGTGAAAATAAAATTCTTTCTCCTTGATTTTTATCAATTTAGTGGGTGACTATTTACCTTTGGTAAACAGTATCTCTGAAATACTGAAGAGTACATGTAGCACTATGCTCAGAGAACACCAAAGTTTTCACAGTGAGGTCTAAGCGAAGATGATACTGTGCAAAAACATTAAATAAAATCTTTGAAAGTTTCTGACTTACCTCCTGAGTAGACGATGCCATGCTGTAGGGGGCCTGTGTATGTACCAATTTTCAGTTTGCCAGTTTTCTGTGTGAAAAGAATATGAACTTTGTAATACTTTATCATCCTGTTATAATCTACTCACAGCACTACTTGGCAGGCAGCCAAAGACATGGCACTCATTTTTTTCAATTATTAGTTTGGTTTGTTGGACTAACTTCAGTTTTAAGACCAAAACTATAAATTTTAAGAGAAATATGGCCATTAAATTAAAAGTATCTATTTTCTTAGGGAGAGTGGGAATGGGGTAAGAAGACAGATTACCCTCTCAACTTACAGTATCTACTTGACGCAATACCGTGCCTTCTCCAAAAAAGAGTGGTTTCCGTGCATCTACCAAGATCAGGTCAAAGTAGGACTGCCATGGTCGATGGGAGCTCCCAGGCTGGTGAAAGAGAACCAGTAAAAAACAAAACACCACTCCTTAACTTAAGACACTCACATGTAATCTTGTTCAAATATAAGGAATTCAGCAGTACTAAGTATAACCAGAAGATCTCACTATTTAATTTTTAAAAATGCACTGTGTCTAATTATAAGCCACATCCTTCTGGAAACAGGTGTAAATAATAAATAAACTCAAGTAATCTCTACAGCTGGGCGTGGTGGCACATGCCTATAATCCCAGCAGCTTGGGAGGCTGGGGCAGGGGGATCCCAAGTTCAAAGCCAGCCTCAGTAACTTAGTGAGGCCCTAAGCAACTCAGTGAGACCCTGTCTCTAAATAAAATATAAAAAAGGGCAGGGGGTGTGGCTTAGTGGTTAAGCATTCTTAAGTTCAAATCCCTGGTTCCCCCCAACCAAAGTAATCTCTACATTTTAAATCATTTAATCTCCTGAGTTCCAGTAACATATCACAGCAATTTAACATATGAAGGTGTGCTCACAATCTGAAATGTATGAAAAAGAGCTAGGGAGAGATGTAAGTCAATACTCAAGGGACAGATTAAGAGGGAGGTTTGATCAGCATTAGAACTAAAGTATATAAACTATTATGGACCATATCAGGAAATTTATTTGTTCTTAGAGTGATGGTTCTAGGTATGTACTAGTCTTTGGTTCATATAACAAAGTAGTCACAATAATGTAGAAGTTATGCCCATTAAAATTATTTCTATCCTGAAGAGAAGTGCACATTAATTTGGGGTGATCTCAAAACAGGGATCTGCTGATTTTTATTCATAGAAGTCTAGGAATCAAATTCTACAAGTATATGACTAAATTGTAATGGGTATTCCTTAAATCTAAATATAGCCATACTGTGGGAATGAAGTCTTCTTTGCTAAATACCAAAGTTAACTGTTCTTTGGGCACAAAATTCAGCAATGACTTAACAGCAGAATATAGAAACTGTCAAGAACACATATATATTTTCTGTTCCTATTAACCAAATATATTTCTCAACCTGAAAATTACTTTCATTGCTATACAAACTTGATAATTCCACACAGAATTTCTTAAGCATGAAATTATTCTGATCCAATCTTACTAAATTCCACTTGAATATCCTTTTTTTATTTCAATCTGCTGAATATTCAAATTGCTAATTGTTTTTCTTTTGTTAATGAGAATTAAAGAAAAGGTTTAAAATCTAGGATTATTCTGGGTAGTTCCCAACCAATTCCTTCCCCTAAATATTCCTGAATGATTAAATGCATTCATTATTACTACAGCAATGATCTATTAAGTTAATGAAATACCTTGGGGCCATGTGGGAAATCAAACAGGTAAGTCATAATTTTCTGGAAAAAAAATGCAAAATAAGGTTCACATACTACTTTTGCAAAGGATATGCAATAATTAAAAAAAAAATAAAAACCTTTTCATAAAATGTCTTTTTTCAATATAGAATTCATTCACCACATTCTTGTCTCTTCTAGTTTATGACAGTGGAAGCTAGAAATTAATACTTCATCATACGAGACAACCCTCCCCCCCAAAAAAACCCACAAAACCTTATGAGATTCTCAGATCTGTACAGATTCATACATACATCCCTATCTATTTTTCCTAGAACACAAAATTTGAGATAAGGGGCATATAAGGTAGGGGCACAGAGAAAAACTAATGACTTATGGAATAATATATTTTAAAGTTTTTACAAAAATGAACTGGAGGGAGAACTTTTTACTAACACTATTAATTTGTAATTGTCTCAGCAGAAGTAAATAAAGAATTAATATTAGTTTTTTCACATGCTTTAATCACACTAAAAAACAATTTTAAAAATAAGAAGTCGTGGGCCAGGGCTGTGGCTCAGTGGTTGAGCACTTGCCTTGCAAGCGTGAGGCACTCAGTTTGAACCTCGGCACCACATACAAAAAATAAGTACATAAAATAAAGATACTGTATTCATCTACAACTAAGAAAATATTTTTGAAAAAAAGAGGTAGTAAATTCTGATATCTAAAATTCAAAAAATCTTTGTGCCACTTACTACTATGGAGCTTCCAACATCAGGGAAGTACAGAAAGTAAAGGGTATGATTTCTTAGGTTTATATAAATGATGTTCCAAAGAGACACAGAAGCCATTTTAATCAGCACAAATATTTTAAATAGTCCCAAAATTAAAATCTTCAAGTAACCAACTATAATCAGGGAAAAGAGTCATAAAGAATAGAAAAAATTAGAAGGATTCTGATATGGCCCTTCTCCCTATACAGTTTTGCTTTTTTCACTCTGCTTTCAAAATAAGATGATAGAAACTACTTTCATTTAAAAACTTCTGTCCTCCTCATTATTTTCAAGGTTCTTTAGGCCAAAATAATTTCTCTGCATAATCAAAAAATATGAATATTAAGCACTTACATCTGTATATTTATAGTCACTGTTGGTGGCAAGAAATACTTTCCCTACTTCCTTCATCCGGCTCAAAAGCAAAGGCAGTTTTCCCTGAAATGCAGTAAAAACAAAACACTAAAACACAAATACTTTCATTTTGGGGTAGTCATATACTAGATTTTTGTCCCCTAAAATAGGGGGTAGGGTAAGTCTTTTAAAGATTAGTTGTTGGTTTCAGAATTTTGCATTTAAAAGCTCCCATAAGCGCTATACATGAAAAAAAATCTTAATATATGTAGTATACAAACTGTACATAGCATCTAGATTCATATGTAAAATGACTATAAGGACATTAACATATTTCCACCTTTCTCATATGGTCTACCTCAAGAAAGAGTTTAAATTACCTGTGATTTCCTGAAGTATAAGAGTTAGATGTGTTAGAAATCCGGAGAAGTTTATTTTAAACAACACCAGCAAATTTGCTATTGGAGATTATTAGATATAGCCACATTACGTATACACTAGGGTTTTACAAGCACCTTGCAGAATGTAATGGCAAGTCTAGATAAATCTAGAAATGCCCATGCCCATCTGCAGATAAGAAAACTCTAACTGCTGATATGTTTCTTTAACTGGAAAGAAAAACACCTTTTCCTTCTCTCACAATAAATAAATAGGTTCCTTTGCACAATTCTCCTGAACTATTTTGGTTTGGATATGAGGTATCTCCCAAAAGCTCAGGTGTGAGACAATGCAAGAAGGTTTAGAGAAGAAATGATTGGGTTAGAAGAGCCTTAACCCAATTAATGAATTAATCACCTGATGGGACTGAACTGTAACTGAAGGCAGGGGCTGTGTGGCTGGAAGAGGTGGGGCACTGTGGGCATGGCTCTGGGATATATTTTTTGTCTGGTGAGTGGAGTCTCTCTCTGCTTTCTGATCATCATGTGTGTGAGCCCTTCCCTCTGCCACACTCTTCTGCCATAATGTTCAGCCTCACCTTGAGCCCTGAGGAATGGAGCCTACTGTCTATGGGTTGAGACCTCTGAAACTGTGAGCCCCCAGTTAAACTCCCTCCTCTAAAATTCTTCTGGTTGGGTCCTATAGTCACAGCAGCAAAAAAAGCTGACTAAAACATGGACCCTCCCCACTTAATGTTCTTCTTTGAAACAATGTGGGAAGGAGAGTGAAATAGGAAGTACAAATTCTGAAAATAAAAAATCTTTACTGTAGTGTTTGGAGAAAATATTGTATTCTGCTATTTACATGCTATAGAAAAGAAAGAAATGTCTGAACTTGGGACTCTGTATGTGTTTACTTTTTATTTTGTAACAATTTTAGTTTATAGAAAAGTTATAGAGGGATTGGAGTTGTGGCTCAGAGACAGAGTGCTCCCCTAGCATGCATGAGGCACTGGGTTCGATCCTCAGCACCACATAAACAAATAGATACTGTGTCCACTCAAACTAAAAAGTAAAAAAAAAAGTTATTGAAATAAGAGTTCCCCGGTATTCTTCCTTAAGCTTTTATTAATAGTAACATCTTATTTAATCACAGTATAATTGCCAAATCTAAAATATTGGTAACATACTATTAATTTATTACATTGTATTTTTAAAGAATGTAATGTTTCCCACTAATTTTTTAAGGTATTTTAAAGCCTTCCTCAATATTTCCTATTGATAAGTTAGAGGTATTTTATTTTTCAAAAAAATTTTTTTAAGTTCTTGATGATTCTTTTTTTAACTTACACGCAGTGCTGAGAATCAAACCCAGTGCTTCACACCTGCTAGGCAAGCACTCTACCACTGAGCCACAACCCCAGCCCAAGGTATTTAAATAACAGTCATATACATGTACATTTTTTTAGATGGTCCAGTGTCTAGTATAATGCTTCTTATTTAAGTCAGATTTGGGTGTGAATCTTGCCTTTACTACTTACTAACTGTGTAATCTTAGGGAAGATATTTAATTCCTCTATTTCTTAGTTTTTTCATTTATAAAACAGATATAACAATAATATATTAGATGATATAATGGTGATATACACACAGTAACCTCCTAGTTGCTATGTTATAATTAGATCTACAAGGACAAATGAAATACTAGGTCTTCTTGCTTACTAATCACACAAAAAACTAAGACCTATGTTCTAGTTATTCTTGGTGATTATACCTTGCACATATTATGTCACAACAAAGAAGTATCTTCCTTGTCCATTTCATTATGATTAGGCTTATTATTCATTTCTTTAATAGGTAAAATAAGCTATGTAGATCTATTTCTCCCTTAATTACTTACATCTTTGACTACATACTTCTCAAGATTTTCAACTGTCTTTTCCTTAAGGGAGCCCTGGGGAAAAGAAAAAAAAAAAGCTAAGAAAATAACAAAATTAAGTTTTTTTTTAACATTTAGTTCACTATAAAAATTGTGTTTACTGTCAACCAGAATGAACTTAAGTGTTTACCAAATGGAAAATAAAACTAGAGGGTTAGGAAAAAGTAGTAGACATGATTTGCTGCAACTCTGCCACCAAAATCTGTCTTCAAATATGAAACTGTCTACTTTTCTGCAAAGATTTGTTAAATATAATCTTTTACAAGAAAATCTCTAGTGAGTTTGAGAAATGAAAACTCAATAAAATCTAGAAGCCAGGTTTCACCAAGTGAGGAAAGGTGGCTAGGATGACCAAACAAGAACAAATATATTCTAGAGATCTATCATTAGGTGGGAAATCCCTTTACCCCCCAACCCATTTTTATAAATGGAAGAAAAATTTTGCTCCATTTGCACTTGAAAAGTAAAGACATGCCAGACAGTAAGTAGGGGAAGAAGCAGCTTTTGAGTACCTTGTAATGAACCCAGTCAACAGCATCTCTTACATCTTGGAACATACTCCGGTAGGACATGAAGAGGTCCCCATCTTTAAATCCTGTCTCACAGCTACAGAAAGATAAAAAGAATGTGACAGGGAATTCAAAAGAGGATAAATAAAATGAATGACAAAAGTTACCCAGGGGACTCAAAGATTCCAATATCATATGGGTATGGCTGTGGCTAATTAGGAAAATAATTACTCCCTAATAAAAATCCATTTTTGACCACCAGAAATTGCCATATGTTCAATGGAATACAATAACTCTGAACAAATACAAAGTGATAGAATAATATATAGAATGGAAGCTAAAAGGTCAAAGTAATAAAATATCAGGTATCTGATTTTTAAGTTTTTATTCATAACTTTTTAGAAACAGGTTCTCACTGAAGAAACATCTAAAATGTACAATTGGTCATTTAGGTTCTTTCTACCCTGACTTCTTTCTGACATTGTCCCTAGGCATAAAGATAATGTCCATTTTCTTAGTGACTCAGCCTTCCACCAAATTTAGTGTCTTGAAGTGGGTAAGGACTAACATAAGAAGTTAGCAAACTCTGACATATATGGCTACAACTTCAGCAAAAGCTATCCAATTCCCTATAAAAATAGAGGATAATTTATTCAAGACTTAAGCAAAAAATTGCTTCAGGGAAAATAAGCAGTATTTATTCCTCAATGAAATCTTGCTGGGCCTGGGAATGAAACTAAATTACCATCCCTGAATGGCTCCTGGGTAGCTGCTGTGAAATGAGTCGGGGGGTTTTAGTGTAATTCTGCTTGGACAGATAATCATCACACAAACCTCCCACTCAGTTGTCACAATTAGCACCTCTGCTGGCCGTCTTCATTCCCAGGAGAAGCCAATCAGAAGTGGTCCCTTCCAAACATGGCTGCAGCACACTGGCAAGGAGAGGGGCCGTGTGGGAGGTGAGAGCCTGCATGGAGCTGCTGGTGCTGTCCCATCTCCAGGCTGGTAATGTGGCATCTCTCACTAGCACTAAATTCACTTTAGAAAAGCAGAAAAGACCTACAATGGCCAGTTCTCTAAAACCCTGTACATTAATTTTAAAAATCAACTAGAAAAAGAAAATTGTAGCATATACACACCTGGTATATCTGGGACAATTAGTAAAAAAATCTACTAGGCAGGCCAACAGGTAGGTCTCTGAAAAATGAAGAATAGATATTCATAAGCTATAAGTGAAATAATTCACACATTTTATTATCTCCTTTGAGCAAAGACAAATGATTATGGAAAGAAGGGAAAGTACCAATATATAAGCATAGAATGAGTCTACCTGGTAGATTGAATAGTGTGTTCAGAATGTAAAATCTTTCAGTGTCATCTCGTTGAATAAATTTATTTGGATACTGCTCTCTAGTTTCTGGCCTGAAAGAAAAATTTTAAAAATTGACATTCAAAACATTAACATGACTGGAGAATATTCATTATTCAAAAATTCATTCTAGGGGCTGGGGTTGTGGCTTAGTGGTAGAGCACTTGCCTAGTACATGTGAGGCACTGGGTTTGATCCTCAGCACCACATAAAAACAAATAGAGAAAAGTATTGTGTTCATTTACAACTAAAAAAAAAAAAGAATAATTCATTCAAATATTTTGATGGTTATGTACAACACAGGGTTCCAAATATTAAACATGGGTAACTAGAAGATGAACAAGCTCAGGTTCTAGCCTTAAAGAGTTCTCAGTCTGGGAGGGAGAAACATACACATTACATTTAAGTATAATAAGATTTAAAAAAAAAAAATCACAACTACTACAAGAAAGCTGCAAAGAGCTGTAAGAAAACTGAAGAAGGGGAAATAATTTCAACTCAAGGGGTAGAGAGAAGCAAATGAGAGAAGGATAGGAAAATCTAGGATTCATGAAAGAGGTGACATATAAGCTAAGCCTTAAAAGCCTTAAAAGCTAAGAGGACCAGCTGAGAAACAAGTCCAATTTTAGTACAGGTAGTGAAGCAAAGGGAAAAAAAAAAAAAACAGCCAGAAAGATGGGCTGAGGCAGATTATGCCACTGTTCTTACACTTCATTCAGGAATAAGACAGTATTACTTAACAGTTTTTACACAAAGGGATTCAACTCATCAGAATTAAATTTTAAGAAGATTAAATTGGTGTCAGTTTTGAAATAAAGTGCAGAAAGAAAATGCAATAAATGGCCCAAAATTCTTCCCAACACTTTGCAATGCAACTTTATGGTTTCTCCCATTAGAACTTCAGTCTATTTCTTCATCCTTAAACATAGGTGTAAACAGCAGCAAATGGGATCTAAGCAAAATTGGAAGACACTGTGCACAATGGCTTGCCCTCTCCTGCTGCACATGGAACCCTGAGACTACTATGTGAATAATAGTGAAATGGTCCACTAGGAGATAAAAGAATACATGAAGAAAAGAGGAACACAGCCAAGGCCTGCCAGTTGCCAGACATTCGAGTGAGGCTATTCTAGATCAGCTGCCAGCTGATCCACCAGCTGACCACAGACATAAGAAACAGCCCAGAGATATCAGCTGAACAATCCTAGAATTGCACAGCTGACTTTCATAATTTAGAGCTAAATAAAATAGTCACTATTTTTTTAAGTTGCTAATGAAACTTTATTTTATTTATTTATATGCAGTGCTGAGAATCGAACCTAGTGCCCCACACATGCTAGGCAGGCACTCTACTACTGGGCCACCACCCTAGCCCCCAAATAGTCATTATTTTAAGTCACCAAGTTTGGGAATAATTTATTATGCAGCAAAAACCAACTATAGAAAGTAACAGAAAATCAGTTAGGTGGTTAATGCAGTAGTCATGAGACTAAGTAGAGCCTATCCTAGCATGCTATCAGAGGAAAATAAAGGAATAAATGCATTTTGAGAGACTGCTGAGGAAATGAGTAAGACCAGGCAACTGTATGGGTGTGGTAAATGAGAGACCTAAGAGTAAAAAATAATGACAATTATGCTTAGGTATCTCTTGAGAAGTGATTGGAACTGCTAATAAAATGGCTCTAGGTTTAATTCCCAGTACTACAAAAAAAAAAAAAAAGAAAAAGAAAAAGAAAAAAATATCTGGATAAGAAGTGGACATAAAAGTAGTTCTATTTTGGCTATACTAAGCTTGAAGTAAAAAAGATTCATAGTAGGCAATCAGAAACAAAGATCAAGATTTTAAAACAAAGAGTCAAATCTGAAAGATAAATGGAATCATATATACACCGGTAATAGATGAAATCATGAAAACTAATAAAGAAACTGAAATTGGAACCATGGAGGATATTTAAGGTGTAAAGAAAAAGTCAGTGAAAGAGAAATTAAGTTAAATATGCACAAGAAGCTTGTGAGTGAAATGAAACACTTCAAGAAAAAGAAGGGAACAATATTAATAAAAAATATTTCAGAAAAGCTAAAACAGACAAAGACTAAAATATGAAGATGTAAAATTCTCAAGCCAGATGTGGTGTGACACACCTGTAACCCCAGCAGCCCAGGAGGCTGAGGTAGGAGGATTGCAAGTTCAAAGCCAGCCTCAGCAAAAGCAAGGCACTCAATGACTAAATGAGACCCTGTCTCTGAATAAAATACAAAATAGGGCTGGGGATGTGGCTCAGTGGTCAAGTACCCTTAGTTCAATCCCTGGTACCCAAATAAATAAATAAATAGATAGATTAATTAATTAATTAATTATAGTTCTCAGTGAATATATGAAAATTAACAAATCTAAATAAAAGAAATCAAAGTTGGGGCCGGGGATGTGGCTCAAGCAGTACCGCGCTCGCCTGGCATGCATGCGGCCCGGGTTCGATCCTCAGCACCACATACAAACAAAGATGTTGTGTCCGCCGATAACTAAAAAATAAATATTAAAATTCTCTCTCTCTCTGTCTCTCTCTCTCTCTCTCTTTAAAAAAAAAAGAGGGCTGGGGATGTGGCTCAAGCAGTAGCGCGCTCGCTCTTTAAAAAAAAAAAAAGAAATCAAAGTTAACACAGTGACTTGGGTAAATTTCTGCTTCAATTTGTTAACTGCAAATGGCATAAATTCCAGTTAGGCATATAAAATCTTATTATCATCCTGTCTTAGTTTCCTCTTAGTCATCCTTCTGAAATAAGAGGTCCTAATAAAAAATAACTTTGGAGAATACCTCATCCTCTAGTCTTCCAAATTTTATGTAATGAAAAATAAGAGGGAAGGGAATAACAATACATATTCCTCAGTGAAGTTTAGTAAGATGACATTGTTTTCTTAAGTGTAATATACTGTTCCATCAGTAAAGAGCAATTCCTCTATAGAGATAGTTAACATTTATTAGGCAGTTACTACCCAAATTGACATATATGCAGTTAGAAATTATATTTTGTTTAAATATCAAATCATGCTTATATGTATTTAAAATTAAAAAATCAACTCAGGGAGAGATAATACACCATAAAAGTAGGACAGTGCACTCAGAGTAGGAAGAAAATAATTTAGTGCAGAATACTGCTAACTTTCTCTGACCCACAAAATAACAGCTTTTTTGGGGCTGGAGTTGGAGCTCTGTGGTAGAGCGCTTGTTTCGTACGTATGAGGCACTGCGTTCAATTCCCAGAACACATATATATAAGCAAATAAAATAAAGATCCATCAACAACTAAAAAATATTTTTAAAAAATAACTTAATTTTCTGAAAAATTAATTTCCAAATTATTAGCAAAACATGTGATGCCAGATGAAGCCCTGACTTTTTTTGGCCCTGTCCATCAATAACCATTTCTCCCATTTTATCCATCTTGTTTCTCCTTTCCAAGGACTTTCCCTTTTGACTCAAAGAACTGTAGTTGTGTTGTTTGAATGATTCTGAATTTACTCATAAATTACAAGTTTTTGATACACCATTAAATATGTTTCAAGAGGAGCTACTTGGAAACTTTACTGAGGAAGAGAGGTAGGTGGTTGTGAATCTTGAATTAGTAAATGTGACTGAAAAGCTAAATTAATGAACTGCTTTTCTTCTCCATCTACCCCTCCATTAATACAAAAATTCCTTTTCAGACATTTGAAAACTGGTTCATCCTCATTGGTATTCTGAATAAAAATGACAACATTTGTAAATAAAAGAGCTTAGGTTACTAGTACTACATGTAGTCATTTTATGTTTAAATCCTGCTTCTTGATATTTGTGGATGTTGAAAAACCCAATGAAAGGACAGTGGATATAACCTTTCTGGCCTGCCCAGATAGGTCAAGGTGGACGTTTACTTCACACTGTTCTCAGTACGTATTATATGGGACATCTCTGAGCATATGTAATGTCAATAATACCTGAAGAGTATTTTATCAGATGGTCAAATTCTAAGTGGGTCACTACTATGACTTACGATTTAAAAAGTTTGGTACAATGTCTTCTGGCAAGTACCTTTTGTGAGAAGAGGCACTCAGTTACCTCCTTCCTCTTACCACAAAAGGTATTTGCCAAAAGACATTGTCTTTCTATTTACAACTCTGCTGTCAAGAATGAATAACAGCCAGGTGAAGTGGCACACACCTGTGAAGACAACAGGATCAAAAGCTAAAGACCAGTCTGTGTAACTTAGGGAGATCCTGTCTCAAAATAAAATGGAAAAGGTCTGGGGATGTAGTTCAATGACAGAGTACTTGCCTTGCATGTGCAATGCCCTGGGTTCAATCCTTTTTTTTTTTAAAGAGAAAGTGAGAGAGGGGGACAGAGAGAGAGAGAATTTTAACATTTATTTATTTTTTCTTAGTTCTCGGCAGACACAACATCTTTGTTGGTATGTGGTGCTGAGGAGAACCTGGGCCGCACGCATGCTAGGCGAGCGCGCTACCGCTTGAGCCACATCCCAGCCCTGGGTTCAATCCTTAGTACTCCAAAATAAATAGATAAATAAAAATAGAAGTTGCTGTTCTGTCATACTGTGTCAGTATGTAAATACTGTGTCAGGCAGTAAATAGAGAAAACACAAAGTCATAATTCTAGCTGTTGTCAAATTGTGATATTGTGATTTTTTTTTTTAAGAAAAAATTGATTTCACTAAAAAAATTGTCTACACCAAATGTTTTTATCTGCTATTTTTCAGGTTGGAAACTCAAATTAGTGACATAATATCCTGATTATGAAAATAAAGTTTATCCTTGTTTTATATATTATTACTCCCTCTTTTTTTTTTGAGTTGGGTAATAAATGTAGATGCAAATTATATTTTGTTTAAAGTAAGTGAATTTTAGTTATATAGTATCCAGTAAAGCTTTTTTCCTTCTTCTTTTTACAGTACTACTATGGATTAAAGCCAGGGCTTCATGCATGCCAGGCAAGTGCTCCACTATTGAGTTATATCCTCAACCCCCTTGTATTTTTATTTTAAGACAGGGTCTGACCAAATTGGCCCAGGCTGCCCTCAAACTTATGATCCTCCTTAGCCTTCCAGAATCTGGGGTGTGCGCCACTATACCTGGATCAACAGAGTTAACCTTGAAACTTGTCTGAGCTCAAGGACCCTTCTATCTCAGCCTCCTATGTAGATGGAAATATAGGCACACACCACTATGCCCAGCTTTTCTTGTATTCATTTTTTTTTTAATATTTATTTTTTAGCTGTAGTTGGACACAATACCTTTGTTTTATTTATTTTTATATGGTGCTAAGGATGAACCTAGGGTCTCGCATGTGCTAAGTGAGCCCTCTACTGCTGAGCCACAACTCCATCCTCCTTATATTCATTTTTATCCCTATGTTTAAAAAAATTTTTTTAACTGTATGAATATCTGAAGCTATTAATTAGAACATTAAAAAAACAATGTATTAGCTTTTAAAAATCTTTATAGTTTAACCACTGAGCCACATCCCCAGCCCATTCCCCTGCTTTTCGTATTTTTTATTTTGAGACAGGGTCTGGCTAAATTGCTTAGAACCTAGCTAAGTTGCTAGGCTGGCTTTGAACTTATGATCCTCCATGCTAGGGATTGAATCTGAGGTCTCACACATGGTAGGCAAAAGTGCTTTATCATTGAGCTACATCCCCGGTCCAGGAATAATTCTTTAAAATAAATAGGAAAGTACATCTCATCTGGAAAGACAATGTCATTTTCATATTGTTTGACTATAGAAAAAACAAACTCTAGAAAGAGACTGAACATTCTTTGTACTTACCCTCTTATGAAGTTAAATCCATGTGCACAAACCAAGAGGTTTCCATAGGCATCGACTTTCAAAAGATTTCCATATAATGTGTCAAAGACAAGTCCTCTATGTGAAAATAATGGCATCATTGATAATACAAAGTAATTTGTACAATAATTTTATATATTACTACTCAATCACCACAAGCCAACCTCCTCTAACTCAAGCTTTGTAGCGACTTAGGTGTATTCTAAAATATAACCTTAGAGGCTAAAGTATGTAAATAAAATCTTTAAAATAAATCCCAGAGCAATTACAAATATTTATTCCAGATAAGTAATCATAAATGTTTTCTATTATGAATAAGGGCTTAATCAAATAGTATAAACTATAATTTCTACCAATACAACTGATATCATTCTAAAATAGTCTTTCCATTTCCTGGGATAAGTGAGCTGCCCTATATTTCTCTCTTTAAAAAAAAATTATTTTTTAATTGTAGTTGGACACAATAGCTTTATTTTTTTTATTTATTTTTATGTGGTGCTGAAGATCTCCCACATGCTAGGCGAGTGCTCTGCCACTGAGCCACAACTCCAGCCCTGATATTTCTCTTTTTGACACTGTGAGATATATATCATGGTATTTCAAATAAATATCATCTTTCTTTTTTGAGGGGTGCAAACTGGGAATTAATCACTGAATACCTCCCAAGCCCTTTTCAGTTTTTATTTTGAGACAGTGTCTCACTTAGTTGCTGAGCTGGTTTTGAACCTGTGATCCTCCTGCCTCAGTCTCTGGAGCCACTGAAATTACAGGTGTGTACTACCACACCTGGCAATATCATCTTCTGTAATTTTAATTTTGGGGGGAAGGGGGCAGTACTGGGAATACTGGGGATTGATCCTGGAGTCTTAAACATACTAGCCAAGCACTCTACACCTAAGCTACATCCCCAGCCCTTTTTTTCTATATTTTATTTGGAAATGTGGTTTTGCTAAATTGCTCAGGCAGGCCTCAAACTTGCAATTCTGCTGCCTTAGCCTCTCAAATCACTGAGATTATGGGCATGCCTTACAACACCCAGTTTAACCCTAAATCTTCCCTATCAAATCCAGAAATGCAAACTGTCTAAGGTGGCTCTAAGTATCCAGTAATTGTATTAGTAAAACACATAACTGCTCTCTAAAAGCCAAAGGTAGGACAGATAGGACCATCTGTGATGCTGCCCATCAGGATATTGATTCTGGTACTAGAGATTGAACCTGGGCGCTTTACCACGGAATTACATTCACAGTGTTTTTTATATTTTGAGACCAACTCTCACTAAGTTACTGAAGCTGGCCTCGATCTTCTAAGCCTCCTGCTTCTGCTTCCCACATCACTGGAATTACAGGCATGCACCACTGCGCCAAGCACCATCAGGTGTTTTCTCACATCCCTTTGTAGGTCATCTTCAACAGCAATAAACCGAGTTCAATTCAAGAACACAGAAGATATAGTATATATGAAAGGTTTGTGGTAATTCTAGAATACCAACCCCAAACAACAAGGTATTATGTGATGTATTCTTTTAGTCAGGGATAAATTTGGAATTACTAATTTGAGGGATAGAGGAAGTGGTCTTAAGATAAAAATATCTTGAAAAATTACCTGGTAGGGAATGTAGAATCATAAGCAAAGCTGAGCAGCTCCTGGGGGTAGCCAATAGAAACTAATCTCTCCACAGTAAGCTCAAAGCCAAGGGATTCATACTCCGGGGACTTGTATACTGCACAAAGAGGAGGTTCTTATTAGTCAGCATAAAGAATAGCCCATTAAAAGAAGGCAAACAAGTGTGTTTCTACTCTTTCCTAATTCTTCCTTCCTCCTCAGTCTGCCATTTCGTTTTTTCCCCCTCAAATTCTATGTTCTGCACAGCCCCCATTAATTAAGAGAATTCAATTATTAATCTGTAGAAATCATTCATATTATATCAGGAGCAGCAGTTAAAAGAAGTATCAAACATTTCAAAATAGTTCCTTCATTCTCAGGAAACCTAAACATTTTTTTTTCTTTTATCTACTCTTTCACTCTCACAATCTAAAGGCAAAAAGAATATAGCTGTGATATTAACTGTAAGAAAATAAGTAAACAGAAAAGTAGATAAGAGAAGTCTGGGTTTGTTAAAGGCTTCAGTGATGTTCATAGTTGACGTAGGAATCTTCAAAATGAGCTATTTTTTAAGTTTATTTATTAAATTCCTATTTGGTTTAATATTTGCTTTATACTCCTTTAATCAATATATCTGTTCTACTTGTCAGATTAACTTGTGTTTTGTCAGCTCTAACAATGTTATAGGCTTCAAAATTGCATTTTATAAAGAATTAATACAAACCAACCAGAAAAAGACATGCCTGAGACAACAGGGAAATCCATATGAACTGGGAATTAGATATTAAAGAATCATGACTTCTTTTATTAGACATGATTATGGCAGGGTGGATACATGCAAGTATGTGTTAAAAATATATATATATATATATATCTTTATCTGCTAAAAAAGCATGGATTTCAGATTATAGAGATTTCTCTCTACTACTGTATATGTCTGAAATTTTCCACAATGAAAAAACTTTTTAGAATTATCACTGTAGTTCACCATAAAGAAAATGTTGCTCCTTTAAATAGGCTTCTCCCAAATGAAATATTTAGGTTACTAATATTCCATCAGTCTCTAGAAATAGGTAAGCGGCACTGAAAATAAAATAAAGACCTGCTTAATTTGTTTAATGCCAAATATGGCAATTAAACAATTATCCACCCTATCCACCCTATTTTTGCAGTCTCACAATAATGCAGCAATTATTATATTATTATAGTTCTTCCATCTATTATTAATATCTGCTTAGCCTATAGCTCAAACTGATTTTTTTTATTTGATACTTTTAGATATACATGATAGTAGGGTATATTTTGACATTTTATACATACATGGAGAGCAACACATTCCAATTAGGATCCCATTCTTGTAGTTGTACATGATGTGGATCAAACTGATTTTTCATTGCAATTAGTTTGCCTGTTCAAATTAGTGTTAATATTTTAGTGAGTACAGTTCAACTTTCCCTTTCTAAAAGTAATCTTTAGAATATTTTCAGAACTATATAAGAAGCTGGTAATGCTACTTGTCTCCAAAAAAGGGAAGTGATTGGCAATGTTACAAGGTAAGGAAGGAGAGCTCCGTGTATGCTCTGTACCTTTAAAACTTGTAACATATTGATGTAGTTATCTGTTTTTTAAATTGAAATTTTAAAAAAAGCAAGCTGGTCTTTTAAAATCCTTTAATAAACATTGTCAGATTAAAAGAAAAATTCTAAGGTGCTTCTAGAGATCCTTGCATTTCATCTCATCAGAACAACACTAAAAGAAGTCATATTTTTTCTTTTTGTTGTTTTGGGGGTAATAGTAATCCAATGCCAATAACTCTAGATAACATTTTCAAAGCTGGTTTTATTTATTTCCCCCTCAACTCCTGCTTTATAGCTCATTCCACCCTCCCTCCCAACATAAACATACACACACATACACACACCTTAAAACCTCATGTGTGGAATTCCTGAATCTGTACGACACATACTGCAGTAAAAGAAGTGCTACATGTACAAAAATGTTAACAGAGTAAAAGCTGATGACCCAGTAAGGCCTGCTACCCAATGATGTAAATTTGAGTTAGGCTGAAAATATAAACTAACATTTCTCACCTGGCTTTCCCTGCCATGTCTCCCACCGATTGCCAGTTGTCCCCACTTGAACAAAATTACCATAAAACAAAAATTGCTTCTTCCTAACCAAAGCCCCAGTTATTTCAAACAATAGTTAATGACATAAAATTCCTGTACAGATAAATAATTTGGGTAACCTACCAACATTAATTGGTACAAAATGTTTTCTATTAGTTTTTCAGGAGGATAATTTGTGGTATTAAGAATGGAGAATGAAAAATAAATCATAACCACCCTCATATAAGCTCACCTCTAAATCACCAATTTTCCCTAGTTAGTCATTATGGAGTGATGGAGTAATCTGGGATTTTAAACTATGTGTATGAGACAATTTGGACTGAAGAGTTCAAATTAATTTACTGAGAATTTTTTAGTGAGAAAAAATACAGGGGAAAAAAATCTCAATTCCTCATTTTTCTAGTGTATAAGAAAATACACTATATATTTATTTGCCACACTGCATTTATTCACAGGGCAGAATATCCAAGTGTTCAACTGAGGTGACTTTCTAGAAGTTCAACCTAGAAATAAGTGCTTTCAAAATTTCCTTTCCCTCAATGAGTTCAGGGTACTTCCCAGAAACAGGATATATTCTCCCTGTCTGCTAACCTGAAGTTACACTGCCAAGTACAAACAGCACTCATCAGAATTTAGATTTCTGAGTTTCATCCCAAACTCTCTCTGGTGGGGAATACAACCACTGCTATGAATTTATACATTTCATAACCATCAAACTTTAAGCTTGGATGCTGAAATATGCTACTTCAATTTCTTTCAACTGGTCCAAAATAAAGTGATCTAGTTTCAGGTGGGAATCAATCTCTTAAAGTCCAAGTTCCATTTTCATAACACCATCTTTTTTATTAAGCTGTAAGACCACAAAAGTTCAGATATTTTCTCATAAGCTTACTGGATAACCAATTCAGTAATACAAACTCTGGGTTATTGAATCATCTGATGGCTGTACAAAATACAACCTCTACTTCAGAAGCAGAACTGAAGCTTTTCAGGGCATGAATTTATATGTTCTATTCTGTTTTCCCTTGGGAGTAAATATTTTTTTCTTCTGATCTGTTGATAAAAATTCCTGAAGCTTAAAGAGTACCACCATTCCTTAAAAAAGTAAAGATTAAAAAGCAGAACTCTTTTTCTGATTAACCAGACCCTTCAAAGCCAGTCTCCATTTGCAGGCAACTGTATCTATCACCTCAGACTGTGGAGCTCTATGCCTCTCTACAGTTTGTACAAAGGCTCTAATTTTAATTTCTTACAAAACGGTGGCAAGTAAATGATGCAGAGTTTTAAGTTCAACCTTCTGTGGTTCCAAAACCTACCCTGAAACTTCAGGGTAAATATAACCTTGCACATTAACTGCTTATTTATTCTCTAAGATGGTCTTCGGGGCTACCCCCAACTTACTCAATATCCAAAGACAAAGAAAGAAATTGTTTTAAGGGCCAGAGTCCAAAAAAGAGGACTGCTTCAGCCACTAGGACAGCACAGAGTGTTCTCAGGTTACGTAACTAGACTATAAAGAGAACAACCAAAGCTTTGAAAGTTGAAGCTACTGAGAGCATTTAAAGATACTCTTTACTCCATAATCTGCAAGGGAGAAAAAAGCAAAAACAAAAAACAGCTCTTCAAAAATAACTGTGTTGTGGGGGTGAAAGTTGTAGGCTTTGTTCTGAGTAGATGCAGCTCACACAAAAAAGAATCTACAGAATGAGCAGAAACTTCCTTCGGGGAAATTTGGAATTCTCATGCATTTTTTACCTTTGCCACCAAGATATACTGTGTAGTAATTTATAGATTTCAGAAAAATAAAGGGCAAACCTCTACAGAGGTTCCAGCCTAGCAGAGTGCTGCTGCCAAAATGAGAACTCACATGAGGCAGATGCAGATGCAGTGTGTGTCACTCCAGTCTTGAAGGAGTTACACTGGCTCTCCTGTTAAAAAAACAAAACAAAGCAACAAAACAAAACAAAAACAAAAACAAAAGCTGGTTTTAAAACTGTTGTGATGGGCTGGAACAGAGAGACACCATTTGGAAATTGGTATTTATTGGAGTTACCACTGACCTCCAATTTAGAAGCCTCTGATCATCACTAAAATTAAGCTAATTTGCCAATAAGAGTTTTGAAGATAAGCCTAAGCAGTGTGTATTATTTCTTTTTCTGGCACCCTAAGTCTGGAAATACAAGCCAATTCTGATCCTGACATATTAAGCCAAAAGAAAACAGAAAAATAAATCCATTTGTCTTAGATTATTTTCTCTAGCACATTTCAGGTTAGTAGAATAGAAAACAAATGCAGCTGGTAAATGGTGTTTAAAATTGAACAATGTCTAGAGAGAGATTAAATTAAGGATACAAAAACAAACCAAAGCAGTACCATCTTGCTTTCAAGTACCCATTTAAGTTGAGTCTACCTATACCAACTTCTCTACCTTCTAACACCTAAATCTGTCATCTTGATATGGACTAGAACCGACTGCATGCTGCAGATGTCTAGACATGGAATGGAAGAAGGGGAAAAGTTTTTTTTATTCTGTCAGTGGATATTTGTCCTCAGTAAATGTTATTACAATAATCTTTATAAAGGTCCAGGAAATTACCTAGTCTAGTAAAAATACTGAGCTGAAGATACATATATAATCCTTTAAATATATTGATACTTTAGGGGCTAGAGTTGTAGCTCAGTGGTAGAATGCTTGCCTAGCATGTGTGAGGCATTCATTGGGTTCAATTCTCAGCATCTCTACTAACAATTTTAAAAAATTTTTTAAATATATTGAAACTTTAAAGATACCTTTATAGGGAGTCATTTTCCCCAGAGACATTTACATTTTGAAAACATGTGGTTGGATTCCTCCAACTCCTGGGAGGTGTGTGAGGGGTTACTCAATAGAAAGGTAGAAATGGTCAAATGTAATGCCTAAAAGTTCTGAAAACACTACAATTGGAAGAAACCACAATTAATAGTCCCTTTATAAAACAAATCCCAATCT